AGTTGCTGAAAAGCAGGTATGAGCTGAAGGGGAGAATGCTGCTCTGACAGACTGTTCAGCTACAGCTGCTCCAGGGAGCCCAGTGGCACAGGGAAGTGCTGGTAGAGATGTCTATAAAGTAAAAGCATAAAGCAAACCAACCCAGTTTACAACCCCATTTTCAGTTTCTTTAGAGAGCAGTGCTCATTTGCTCATGTGGCTGTGTTGACACATCTGAAAAATACATAGGTTGCTCCAAAAGCAGTGCCTCCTGTTATTACTGTGGACACTGCAGCAGGTACAAAGAGCACAAGAACACTGTTGGACAGAGCAGATCCTACAACACACCGTTTTTCAAAATATTCACCACTGTTGGCTGTGCACATTCACAAGTGATGAACCAGAGCCTGCATGCTGCACTTGTGGGGGGAATACTTGCAGGGGCAGAGGTGGCCCGCTGTCAGCACTGCTGGAACACACCACCCACCTCTCGCTGCGCTCACATCCACTGCTGGTCTCCATAGATGTTCACATGTTCATGATGAACGTCACTGGAGGCCATTTTTTTCCACACGGAGGAATTCAGTCCCCCCCTGTTGGCTCCATGTGCGCTCCCATGTCACACGCTGTTATGTCAGACAGTTCCATACGGCAGCAAAATGGAATGGGAGATCAGTGGGAAGGTTCCACCCATCTGTCTCTGACATCATGGGCCAACATCATAAAACAGGAGGCATTACTTTTGGAGCTGCCTTCGTACATTTGTTCTGTGGATTCTTGCTTGGTTGTCACACTGCTACAGGATAAAATGTTCTACAGAAAACCCAGAAGTGTGGCTGCATTGCCTTTTTGTGAAGTTATTGCTGTCTGGTAGCTCCTGATTCATCTCCTGGGGATTGGTCCTCTTTCAGATGGAAGCCCCCCCCTTGTCTCCATTCCCCAGCATTAAGCAGCAGCCGGTGTCTCCTCGGCGGATCTCTCAGCAGCACTCTGTTTATGTCTCGCCTCACAAGAACAGTGCCTGCCTGACGCCTCGAACTGCGCTCCTGTACAAATTCAATGGGAGCCCTTCCAAGGTAAAAATGAAAGGGTTGGAAGAGGTTGATCTGGGAGAGGGTGAATTCATCTCACCGCTGGAACGTGCTCTGTGTCGGTGGGAATCCACTGAGCCTCACTTTGCGGGGAGGGGTAGAGTTCTTTTGGAGAGTTCTTCACTTGCTCAGCAGAGAGGTTCAAAATAATAACTTCTCTAGTTCTCAGCTAATTGAGAACCAAATCGGATTTGAAATGAAGTCATAGCTACTCGTGTTACTTTGTTCTTAAATTGTCGTTCACAGAGTTTGAAGGATATCAACAATATGATAAAACAGGGTGAACACAGGAGTAAGAAACGAGCCATAACGATTGATGGCGACACTGAGCCCCCTATGAAGCGACTCTGCCAGGAAAATGATGATGTTCTACTGAAGCGCCTTCAGGATGTTGTCAGTGAAAGAGCAAATCACTAAAGCTGCCCGTTTTCTGTGGGATCTCAGAGCTATCTTGAGCAGGTCGATACAGCAATAGTGCTACTACTTCCTTACAAGATGTGGTATATGCAGACAGCTGCCTAGTTTGGTTAACGTTGAACCTCTGACTTCCACAGGATGCAGGAAGCAAGAGTTAGGTAGTAAGAAATGGAGCATGGAAGGTGGTTTTATTCCCAGAGAACATACTGTACTGTAAGTTACTCTCTTTGAGCCATTTCAGGAAAAGAGTGATCTGCAGAAAGCTGTGGTGGATGTTCTTGAGCCTAATCTAGAGCATTTCAGTTCTGAGTGTAACTCAGCTTCTGGTAACCATTTTATTTTTGGAATTAAAACGGTAAGGAAATGAGTGAAGTCGGTTACATTTCTCAAGCTTCCATACTTGAGATAGAAACTTTGAAAGTGCCTTATTTCTAAAATAATGTGGAGTAACTGAAGAGGAGAACAGACTGATTCAGTCTCAGAAAGAGTGGAACAGTTCTGAAGCATGTGACTTGACATCCTGTGCCATTATCTCCTGTCAGAGCTTCAGCAAAAGCGTATGTTGCAACATGGATCAGAGCGTAGAACATGAATCAGGAAGCAGATGCAGCAGTTTAAATTGGACACCGGCAACTGGAAAAGCACAGAGATACCTTTCTGAATAAGTCTGAATTACCCTTCTCCTGAGCCAGTGAGCACTGCCGTGGGAGATGCTCCTTTCCAATGGGAAGCTTGGTTGCTGCCTGGCTGTAGAAGCTGTGGATAGGAATCGCAGCTTAACTGCAAAGACCTACAAGTTGGTTATGGTTGGAAAGAGAGCTTGGGCTTCAACTGCCTTACAGCGGTTGATATGTGGAAATTCATTTAACACATTATGTAACTCTACATTTTAAGATCTTACTCTCTTGTTGTGTAGTATCTACACTGAAAGTAAACCCATCGGATAAGGTATGTTTGTATACATGACTTTTGTAGCTTCTAAAGGATTGCTTTCATTGGAAATGTGTACGTTCTTATTTCTTATAACGAAAATTGTTGTTAACACTGAGGGATTTTATAGGATTTATTTTACCAAAACTGAAAAAGTCAAGTTTACTGTAAGTCAGTATTTTGATCTTATTTCTTAATTGCATTTGAAGTTAGAGCCGTACAGAAACTTCTCAGCACTGTACTCTGTGTGTGTGTGTGTGTGTGTGTGTGACGCTGGAAAAAATAACAGTTCCATAGCATTTGTGCTAAGGGCTCTGTTCACTTTGCTTTGTTTAGTACATGCTGCCAGGTCTGCTGTGCTGTGCTTACAGGAAGAAAGCTTGTGTGATCTCACGCATCTGGCCAGCAGCCATGGAAGGAGAGAGTATGTACATGGGTGTGTGCAGGGACCCTACTCAGCAAGGATAGGATGTTTACAAACCAGTTCATTTGGGTCTTTAACTACTTTGATTTTTGACTTCCAAAAAAAAGGTGCTTGTTTCTGAAAGGTGTGACTGTGGGGTAATGGACACAGATGCACAGAATGCAGATTCTTCAGTTCCTTTAATTTTATCCAATTTGAATATTTGTCTTCAGATGGTGAGACAAAATGTACAATAGAAACAAACTTTGTCTTGATCCACTCATCTCTGCAGTTACAACCACATTCCCTTCAATGCATAACCCAGGCCCTAGAAGCCTCCTGCATTGTAGGGGAAATTAGGAATCCTGACTGAGCCTTACCTGCAGGATCACTGCAGCCCTTATGGGTGATGAATATAACCTCAGGCTTACCAGGGTTACGTTCTTCAGCAGTATGGCATGGTAAGGACGAAGCTGATTCAGTCGGGATGTAGCATCCCTGGAAGATCGTTGATGAGCCCTTGGGTTGGAAGGGGCCTCAGGGATCCTCAAGCTCCATCCCCCCACCATCTCTTCCTACCACATGTACACCTCCTGCACTCCTGCAGCCTTCTCTGGAACGGCAGAGAGCTGATGGTGCTAAGATCCTCACTGGTGTCATTAAACACAGTGTTTTTTCATTAGAAAAATGGATGTACTACAACTGGATGCAGTTCAGATTTTTCACCTGTGTAGGTGACAACATGAAAAACGTTTTTGGACTTGTGGAACAGCTGAAGCAATGTATGTGAAACTTTTCTAATGGTTTAAAGTGCCTTCACATGTAAATATGTATTTTATAATAAAAGTATTTTAACCTCTGTTTTGTGTGGTCATTCATTAAATCTGCCTGCATCTCCTGTAATATCAAAGACCTTCATTTTTGTACCTCCTCACATTTCCTCTCTATCTTTTTCAGTTTGAATTTATCTTTTATCTATCTGAAGTTTCCTCCTGAGATTTCTCTGGTGCTTGTGCTTCAGTCAGATGTGGTTTCTGGGAGGAGACTGAGAAATGCTCCTGCTGAAGTAAGCAAAGAAATGCCGGGCAGGGGCGGTCCTGCAGTGCCCGGTGCCCCTGCCCAGCTGAGCACTTAAATGCTGTGGGCTCCTGGCTCTTGGGCTCCAGCTCTGCAGCCACGTGGGCAGTGCTGGACAGCCCTCATCCCACAAGTTAAGTGCGTTGAACGTGTTCAGGTTTTTACTGGCTGGCTTTATGGTGGTTTTCTTCCTGTGAACGTACGCAAAGTTGGTACCAGCTCAGTGCTCAGGGCTTGTTGAATTTTGCCCATGCAGCTACTGAAGGAAAAAGTGGGGCAGTGTGCTAGTGTAAGTAGTACTGAAATCTTGGCACCAGAGCTTCAGAGTCAAAAATTAGTTCCAAAAGACAAATTACAATGGAGATAACAGCCTTAGAAGGATGCTGAGGGGCACTGCTGTGGAAAATGGGGCTGGCTTTTCTCTGTAAACTTCCCTTCTGTAGATAAAGCTGCAATGAGGGGAAAGCATCATGGGCGGTACAGAGGGAGAAATAAGACTGGGAGTTTTCAGAGTTGGGAAGAAAGCTTGTTAGCACCAGCAGGAAGAGTACAAGAGACAGATCTGCTGGCACTTAATCCGTTAACACGAGGCTGCCACAGCCCAAGTGCACCAACATTTGGCCTCAAGAAACTGGGGTGTGAGAGTGTGATTAAGCAGTGTGGAGAACTGAAACTGAAATTCAGTTCAGTTTCCTGGTAGGAAGCATTCTTATGTGCCAGGCCTGTGAGTCAGGCAGAGTGTTTTTGTGGTTTAACACTTGAGGGACAG